GTTCTATGAACTTTCCGAACAATCAGATAAAATTTAATGATAAACAAGATCGAATTATGGTTGCTTCTTATTTATATTCGAATGGTTATAACTACTTCTCTAACTCTCCTTATTAATGGAAGTTCTTTTAAATTTTATATTGCTGAGCAGAACAATAATTAGATTTTAACGTGATTTAAAAAAAGAAAATAGAAATTATTTCATTTCCTGTTATTATAGGTCTTTTATATTGTCTCATAGAAACTCTTCAGAATTAGTTGTACAATAGTCATAAATGTTCTGATATTAGTGACAATTCTTGAATCCTCTGCTCTCATATTTTGATTAAAAATAGAATAAGCTGAACTATGATCATACAAGGACCAAGTATGATTTGATCAGCCTTCATGTAGGGAAATCAGAAGGTCAACATAGAATCTTTCTTCAGACTAGAATATTTTAGTGTAGACAATAAATCTCATGACGTTTAATTTGTTACTCGAAAGGTCAGTTCTACTTGCCATGAATAAAAATTTTCATGTTCTTGCTTGATTTATGAAGTACTCTTGCAATAATCATGATGTAAAAGTTGGTGAAGCTCTTAACTTTTTCCTAAAAATTTCACGAATCTAACCATCGACAAAGAAGAGAGCCATGTTGAAACTGTCCGAGACAACGGATACTTTCTGATGTTTTAGAATTACAGTAGATTGAGGTACCCTATCTGTAACACAATCTGGACATGCAGAGCTTTATTTATTAATAAGAAAATGGATGATAATACGTCGAAATCATGAAGAATCAGACAATTATCAAAATAGCTTTTTTTGGATCCTAGCTGGAGAAAACAATGCTTTCGCTCCTAAATCCGTTATGTTAAGATCGACGTACTTCGAGTTGATGCTTGCGAAGCTCTAATTGTTGTCAACATAAAAATTTATATAAAAGTATCTCTTGACAAGTTGAAACTTTCTTGGATTAAAGGACTCACTATTGTAGTAATTTCAACGAAACAATTATATGAAAGTGTGGGTATGGCGTGTATGTGTGTCTGTACGCATGAATGCACTTCAAGTCTTTCTTATTTCCGACTACATCGGAAAAGAAACAAGAATTATGGTGTCTCTCTGCAAAAAATCATTAACAATATCAAAGATTTTTTAAAGTGAGATGCAAGTGAAGAGAAGAGATACAGTCACAGCCACAGCTTTACGTTAGTGTACTTTTGCAATAATATGATAGAGGACTTCCTTTTTACATATGAGTTTAGATTAAAATTCGCTAACAGAAGAAAAAAACAAGAACATTCTTTTTTTTGGATCTTCAATTATCTATTCATAATCCGTCTATTTTATTGTAGTAAATTGCATTTCTTGGCATAGGCGGCGCAGAGTTTTTGGATACGCTGAATCTCAGTTTCAGAGCATGGGATCCAGATGAAATTTATGGAGGATGATATTGAGCCTAAATGATCAGTTTTATTCAAAAAATTTTTGCGATCGAAGTTTGCGAAAAAATTTTTAAAAATCTTACTGCTACCCCTAAAAAGTTTTTTGTTTTTTTGTAGTATTCCATTTTTTAAAATTCAGTCGTAATCTACATCGAATTTCATCGACAGATTTCAAATTTCACCTAAAAATATGCATCCGTTCAGGAGTTATAACATTTTGAATCTTTGAGAGATGGCTCAACAATTTTCACAAAAATTCAAAATGTTATAACTCCTAAACGGATGCATATTTTTAGGTGAAATTTGAAATTTGTCGATGAAAATCGATGTAGATTGCGACTGAATTTTAAAAAATGGAATACTACAAAAAGCAAAAATCTTTTTAGGGGTAGCAATAAGATTTTTAAAAATTTTTTCGCAAACTTCGATCGCAAAATTTTTTTGAATAAAACTCATCATTTAGGCTCAATATCACCCTCCATGAGTTTCATCTGGATTCCATGCTCTGAAACTGAGATTCAGCGTATCCAAAAAATCCTGCGCCGCCTATGTTTCTTGGTTCTTACAAAAAAGTTTGCAATTCTAACAGATTGGTCTGAAAATTTGGTATAATCAAGATGTATTAAACATACTCTTATTTATTTATTCTTCGGGAATAAATTGAATATCATATTATGTAGATTTGAGATCTTATTTAAGCCTCTTTCATTAACAAAATTTCATTACTATAAATAAAACGAAAAAAAAAAGACTGAAGAAGTTTAGTCATGTTAAAATAAATCTATTCATAGTTTTTATTTTGAATTTGTATTGGCAGAAGAATAGAATGTTGTTTCTATTCTTGTATTGTTGCTTCTATTAGTACTACTGAAGGGCGTGGATATGACTGTTATTAAGTGATAGTTGACAGATTGGTCTTTCCATTAATGACATCCATCGAAGCACACACATACCCAGTCTTAGTAGAAAAATTATCAACTAATAGAAACAATGAATAACACTATTACATCTTTCACACAATATAAATTGAACAATAAAGTCAATCGAGTTTCTATCTACCTTGATTCAATCACAATATCATTTGCAATAATTATGAGCACAATCAATATTGGAGTGATCTCTCTCGTCGAACTCTTTGATTATGTTCGTGCACCCACACCCACACCCACACCCTCATAAGAAATGAGATAAATATATGGTACCAAGAAAAAAATGCTAGTTTATTTTAATGTTAGTTCATAGTTCATGTAGTTTTTTTACAATAAAAAAAAAAGGTAAACGTACAAGAAACATTTTTTTCTTGTTAATATATTGCTTATGATAATAACACATACAGTCACTGTTTTCTCTCTTTCTCTTGAGCATTGCGAACCATTCCTTCGCAGCCGACCATATGGCCTATTTTCTTCTCTGCATTGCCACTGATGACTGGACATTCGCATGTTCTTTCATTTGCTGCTCTCATTTTTTCAGCTGCTTCTTGTTTATCGTGTGCACCCGAATCTTTCCAAGCTTGACTACCTGTAACATTGCCGATTGCTGTTTCAGCAGCTCCTTTCACGTATTGAGCATGTCCACCCAAAAGACTTGCGTTGCTTTTGTCAGCCATAATTGCACTTAATTTAATGTCGATAGTGTATACAGTAAAAGTAAAAATGCGATTGCAAACGATATAAGATGAAAAGAGAAAAAGCGAGTGAGAATATATACAGTAGGAAACAGAACGGAAAAGGCAGGATGGCAAAAAAAAAGTACAGAATGTGTCATACAGAGCACTCAGAGACATCACGTTGTAAGGTTAAACAAAGACACGAGTATTTCTCTTTTCCATCCATAACAATCGAAATTGTACTGGTTGTATGGAGTTAGAGAGTCCTATGGAATAAAATATCATTGTATATATGTTTGTTTCCACGTGTTCAGACACGTGTGTACATATCTTTATAAAGATTTGAAACGATTATTCTAAGAAAGGGTATTTCGAAATCGCAATTCTCGGTTTAGATCAGCCATCAACACGTTTTCATACGTTCACAAAATCACGATTACATAGGATGTAGTTAGTCTGCTTCATCGAAAATAGATATCAACAAGACGCAATTTTGAATCAGATGAATATGCTGATCTCGATTCAATAACATTGACTCTATGGCTTCTATTAGCACCGAATGTGAAAGAGTTGGTTGTAGGTTATGTTTTCAATTATTACTATTCTCTTCTAACATAGTCATGAATTGATTGAATTATTATTTTTCAATACAACTATATTACATTTGTACTCGTACAGTAAATTTTCAACATATAAATATTCGTCTAGGTGGAATTTGATAGATCCAGAGTGAGTCATATTTTTCTGCCCAAGATATTTCTCTAAAATATTCTCTTTTTGAGATTCGCTAGGATTGAAATAAATGATTGTATGCGTTCGAGTGAAATTATAAGTGTAAGCATACATTCAAGAATTTTCATTTCTCGCTGCTCCCATAGGTATTAATGATTTTGAATTCCGAACTAGAAGTGTTGGAAAGTATAGTGATCAACGGATATGTTTTCATTGATTACGTTGTGCTTTGTTATCTATAGTTGCTATCGTTCATTGTCTGCGTTTGTTTTTTTCTTATTTGCACTAATATACCGTATTCTCTGATTCGTAACTAATGTCTATAGAATATTAACGTCATTTTATTATTTCAATCAAAAGTGTGACATAGAATAAACCCATTTGAGAATTGCAATTTTCATGCGTCTATATTTTTTATTGTTTCCAACTTGCTTTTGAATAGTAACTAGAAAATGAAGTATCGATTCTCGGCTTCCTTCTCATGATTTGAATGGACGTTTCGCTAGTATATCAGCATATTTTACAACACACAACAAGAACTGTGCAAGACAAGCGATCGCATGCCGAGATGAAACACTGATAAAATTCGTTTCAGTTCAGTCATGTCAAATATTCAGAAAATCGCTGATACAAGTATACGATGGATCGCAAACATATTGGAAATGCTTCACCGAGTGCCATGTCTCTCGACATATCATTTTCATCTCTATTGAGAGACGTGCTTACATCTCCGATTTTCTGGATATGTGACACTATGCTCATTCGTTGGTGTTAACATTTTGTGTAATAAGTATTTAGTTGGTTTTTACCAGGTGAATTCTCCATACATTTCATTACTTTTACTTTAGGTCTATCACACTTTTTGGTAGAAATGAAACTAAAGTGAGCCTTTTGTTTTTTTATTTGGATTTCCACCTGTCATCAAATTCGTTTACTAGCTGTTCCATTGAAATCAAAAGCAATCCATTTCGGCTAATGGATTATCGGTGGAAATCGACGAAAAATTGCGAAATTTTTCGAGAAAACAACCTTTAGAAAAACAAAGCTGTTAGCGCAATTCCTGTAAGATTAAAAGAGTGTCGGTGTGAGCATTTCCTTGATATGCAGGGTGTGAGTGTGAGTATGGATTTTACCTCTAGTCATAGACACATGCACACCTACGCCCTCGATTTTGAAAATTCGACATAGGTCTTGTTTATAGGCTTGACAGTGTATTGAAAATCTAAATAGTCGAGCATGTTCTTGCTCTGTTCCGTAATCTCAAAACGAACATGATGAACAAGTGACAGCTAAAAAGGCAAATATAATGATTAGATCGATGATTGCATTAGGAGCAGATCAAACAAGAACATCTATGATGATCTTGTGATAGAAATATATAAGTTTAAAACTTATTTCTTCTATTTAAAAAAATTTCTAATAGAAATACGCCTCAGAATATATTCTAATAAGTTCAATTGATGTGCGTATAATTTTGTTAAACTAAAATTTCGAGTTCATTATTCTTAATTTATCTTACAAATCAAAATTATATTCTATAAGCAGCATTCATCTATGAATCAATATGAATTAAATTTTACATGAATTATTTACCGAAACTTGTAGTGAATGTATCTGAAAGAGAGTAGCAATTTTAGCTACATCAATCATTAATTTTATTTTGTGATAAAAATTCAAAATCATCAAAACATTTCATTAAATATTCCTCAAGAAATTCTGTTTTTTTACTACCTTGAACAAAAATAAATCTATTATATTTATGAAAATAATCTATTGATTTTTTTAATGTTACAAATTGATCACTTATATTATAACCAAATAAACAAAATAAAGTATCTTGTATTTCCATTAAATCAAAACTTGGTGGTGGACCATACCAGCACCTATTGAACATGTTTGCATTTGTTCCCAACAATCAAATTTTGGTGATATATGTGTTTAATTATAATTAACATTATTTAAAGCATTCGTTATTTCGTCACTTGTTGATATTTGAACATAACAAACATCAGTCGAATCACATTGATATAATTGTTTATCGAATATTGTTGACATCATACAACATGTATCTAATGATAATGATTGAGTAAATGTTTATTGAATATATTTTGATAATAATGCACTTTTATTAATAGATATTGATTGGAACATATAATTTGGTTTATCTCAATACCAATGAATAAAGAATAAGAGATGATGGATCGATTCTGATTTGATGCTAATTTTGTTACTAATATAGCGAATAAGACAAATATAATTGAAAGAAGAATTTCAGTAATTAATGCTTTGATATTACGTTTTGTTCGATGAAATTGTTTTATGAGTAATCTGCTTATTTGTACGGCTAGATAACGTATATCAATATAATCGTATATGTATTCCATTCATCTTAAAATAATTATCAAATGTAAACTTTATAGTGTATTTCTTTTTAAAGATGAGAATGTTCAATAATTGTGTGATTACTCCGATCATTTTTTTATGAAGTCAATAAATCTTATTGTAAAAGATATTTCAGAGTTTTTGGTTAGTATATTCAGAATGAAATGTATTTTTAAAAAAATATTAAAAAGATGGTGTTAGAGTGATTTGTCCTCTAAGGACAAATTCTGATGATGGAAAAA